ATCATTGCGGATAGGGGGCTGAAGTTTAACAGTGCCTTTTGGCAAGCCTGTTCTGACCTGTCTACATATGGGCCATAATGTGGTATTGTGAACAACCCTAATACAGGTGCAAATGGATAGTATCATATGTATTCTCCATCAAAATGTGAATTTTTGCAAGCACTCTCTGGAATGCCATGTCCTTTAGTTTTGAAATGGACTACGCTGCATCATCCGGTGGCTTGGGCAAGCAACACAGAAATAGGTGGGGAAAACGTCGGGGCACTGCGGAAAGAGTGTGTAGCTTTAATCTGTACGCGATTTGGTTCCCTTTTGTGTTCCTTGAGACAAACACACACATTTCAGTGCATCGCCAACGGCAAGCCAACTCACCTCCGCGGTGATGTTGGTTTGATCCCCCTTTCGTTGTTGCCTAGTGAGTAGATCTTTATTCCCTTTGATAACACTTCAGCGGTTGATGCATAAGTTCACTGCCCTAAATTACACTATTTTCGCTTTCCCCAATGAACAGTGGTAAGACAGTGGATACGCTTTCGCTTTACTGTACGCAGATGGTCTTGGCGTACAGGTATGGATTATATGGGTGCATGTCTTGAAATGAAAGAGCAATGGGAAGACGTTTTGGACCAAGTTGCATTTAAGCACTCTGTACTTGACTTTTTAGTTCAAACCCAGAATTATTAGAGAGTTGTTTGTTTGGTTTGAGTGTTTATACATCCGCTTTTTGCACAGTTATGCTACCTCGAAACAAGAAGCGTGAATGTTGTGCGAGTGCGCACTAGATGTATGTGCAAAACAGTTGCTTGTGTTCGGGGGCCCTAGAGGGTGCAGCTGAGAGCATCCTAGCTGCCCCTCCCCCCTCAAGCTGCGAACTCTGAGGGGCGTGGATAAGGGAAGAAGTAAGCTCTTACGGATGGCAATTAGTGAATTTCCACGAAGCTTGTATTGAGCTGGCGTTGGGACGTTATAGACTGGCAGCTTGAGCTTGCTACTGGCTGTAGAGTGGGGCTATATATATAAGTTAAGAACAGAGAAGGTGTTTCTGTGAGCTGATTTGCCATGTGGAGCTAGGTGCGAACGCTTGGAGAGCTCAGGACGCAGTAACGCGCATCCCAGCTGTTCTCTCCTCCATCAGGCCGGAAACGCGCAAAGGGAAGACAAGGAGAGACAGGAGCTTTTTTGAAGCGGCTATCGATTGCATTGTCTATGCCTGATACGATTTAGGTGTGAAGATGTGATTGAAGCCATAAGATGAGCACGACACGCAAGGAAGAACTTTACACTGAAGAACCTTACACCCACGATGTTAGCGCGCAGGTACACACCACTCGTGATTATGGCACAAAGCGAGCCCAAATGTGCAAAGGGCATACAATATATAAAAATATGTAGCCCTCGCCGCCGGAACTTTATCGAACAGCATATACGAGAATTTGCTGTAGGAGTAAATCCGTAGGATGGCGCGCCATTCACAACTTCACTTCTCGTCGCTGCAAGGCTGGCACTGTTTTCACTACCGTAACGTTTTTGTCAGGCGAGTAAAAGGATTTAATCGCAAATCGCCCTCGATTTGTGCCAGGGAGATAGCTACAATATCTTATTCTGGGTTGCTACGCGTGCAGTCAGTCCCGGTCCACCGGCTACATAAGGCACTACACCCGTAAGGACTGGTCAGAAATCCCACCCATAGCCTTATCCAGACGTATTACAGCAGATTGTACTTAAAATGTTAAAAGGTTATATGTGCGGAACGTCAAGGCCCCACTGGTGGAAACTAGATATAAATGCATTGGCGCTGGAGGCCCCAACGGTCCGTTGCCCAGACAGTGCATATGTTCATAATTCCTACGTAGCCTTCATGACTTCCGTCCTTCTTCTTTTTCTTTTGAAATAAGGACAAACCTGTGTGTTTGGCGAAGTGTATACAGAGGTCCCACGAAAGAGGAGCCTGACGGGAAGGGCCCTCGTTTCATAAGTCAGTCATAGACTCATCGCCTCACCCTGTGACAGCGGCGGCTGTAGCAAAGGTCTGAGAGGCTGCGGATCCTTTTATTTGGCTACGTACAGTTGCCTTTAGATTTCGTAGGAAAATCAACTAACCCGGGTTCCCTTCGCGGCGAGCTTGTAAGTGTGAGGTCCCACGCCCGCGGAACTACCGTTGCCGACAGTGCGGTAGGGGCATTCTTCCTTCCTGCCGGCAGCCGAGGGCGGCATCTATTAGAAAACAATTTAGTAGAAGCACATCGGCTCTTGGGCTCTTCTTTTGGCCTCTCTTTTCCCCTTGATCTTTCCCTTCACTGTAGCTTAGCCTTTGCTGTATTACTCCCGCTTCCTGGCACCGTCTACGCATTGCGGCAATCTCCGTTAAGCTGCTGATGACTCTGCAAAAAGAAAGCCCGCTTTCGTCCCGTGGATAAGGCGTGCGAAGCTCTGTTTTTGGGTTGCGGCCCCTTCGGGTTGGCACATCACGGGCCTGACCCCTCTCCTCAGCTTAAAGGCGTTATGCAGTAATCAGCATGCAACACAATGACTGAATCTGCGGGCCCGCTGGGCGGCTTCCTTGAAGGTTTGCGCGGTGTATTTTCAGAGCTCACCTGGTCGGCAAGCGAGCTGGCTTTACTCACGTGTTCCGTGGCACTGACAGTGTCGCAGGTGCTTGTGTCTTATTGCATCCTTAACTACTTCCCCTCTCCGCTGTTCCTCACCTGGTGGCAGCTCGTGCAGGTACTTGCTAGTGCATACATATTGGGGGATTTCGGCGCTTCTTTTCCCCGCACTGCCTGCTTCCCTGCAGTCAAACTCGGTGGTTTCAAGTGGTTTGTCCAGCTGCTCCCGTATTCGTTGGCTTACTGTGCCTTTCACGCAGTATCCAACAGTGTCATAGGTGTGGCTCGACACCCCGCTGCAATCCCTGTTGCCTCTGGGCTCTTAGTTGCCTGCCACCACGTTTTCCGGTCCGCAGGATGCCAAACACAGTACACTTCGCTCAGGTGGGGGGCGGTATGCCTTTTAGGGGTCTCTTGCCTGTTTTCAGCGGCCTACGTAGACTTCTACTATTGCATGCTGCTCGCCATGACCTCTGCTATATACCGCGGTGCTTACTTGCCCTGGGCAGTGCATGTTAGCGGGCCTGACGAAGGCTCCCTGACAGCCGCCTGCGGCATCACCGGGGCCGTGGCGTTCCCACTATTCATTTGGCTCTTCAACGAGCAGATCAATGTGCTCTCTTTTTCCAAGCTGGCAGCCTTTAATTCACATGAATGGCTCGTTTTGGGCTGCTGGACAACCGCCGGGGCCCTTCCGTTTTTCAAAAGCCTGGTATCCAACAAGCTCATGAGGATGTATGGCCAGCATGTGTGGCGCATCAGCGAACTTGCTTCGGCTATTGCAATTTTCATGTGCTCTACTGAGCTTTGGGGGCCTGCAGGGATCTCGCTTTCGACCGGTATGGCTCTCTTGCTCATGGGGAGGCTTTGCTGCGCAGTCGATAGCTATGAGGAACGGCGAGCCCTCGAGTCCCAACTCACTCGCACGTACTATTCTCGCCGCCTCAGCAAAAGGGATTCGTCTATAGAAGAGTCTCTTGCTCTTGTAGAAGAAGGCCTCTTGGAGCACATTTCTCCTGAACAAGCAGAAGAGATAAGGGACCAGCTGACCGGTCTCGTGAGGGCATATGTAACGCGAACACAATGTGAAGATATCACGATGCTTCAGCAGATGGGGGGCGGAGAAGGCATTGTTCACTTGCTTCGTGTGCCACGCTATTTGGGGCTGTCCGACCAACAGGACATTAGGCGGCGTCAAAAGCTATTCGGGGTCAACAGGCTCCCGCGTCGTGCTTCTGCTTCTTTCCTGTCTCTTTGCCTCGATGCCGCGTCAGACAGTACCTTGCAGATTCTCATGGTGTGCGGTTTTGTATCGATTGTCTTGTCCCAGCTATTTGGCGAGAACCCACAAGTAGAATGGATGGAAGGCGCAGCCATCTGGGTGGCCGTTCTGGTCGTTGTGGTGGTGACTGCTGGAAATGACTGGCTCAAGGAGCAGCAGTTCCGCCAGCTGTCTGCAGTGAAGGATAACAAGAACTGTACGGTCATACGGGACGGATGCCCAACTCAAGTTTCCGTTTTTGATCTCGTGTTGGGAGATTTGCTTCAGTTTGAAGCAGGGGACGAGCTTCCGGCGGACTGCGTGGTGCTGTCGTGTCGTGGACTGCGCATCGACGAGTCCTCCCTGACTGGCGAGTCGGAAATGATCAAGAAAGACACGTACGAAGACTGCGTTGCACAGCTTGAGGAAGGTGACAGCAGGAGTCCTAGGTCAATGCAGCACCACTTTGTCTCCTCGCCTGTAGTGCTTTCAGGAACAACAGTCAACAGCGGAAGCGGTACTGCCATTGTTGTTGCTATTGGCCCGCACTCGCAGTCTGGTCAGCTTTTTCAAAAACTTTCATTCGATACGGAGGCGACTCCTTTACAGCTCAAGCTGAATGCCCTAGCGGGTGACATCGGCAATTTCGGGCTCCTTTGTTCTATCGTTGCCTTTTGCGTTCTTGTCTTGGAATACTGGGTGATATATGCTCTCACTGAGTCAGACCAGCGGCCTCTTTTGGCGTCAATCGTTGGTAGCCACGTTCACTTTTTCGTAACGGCCATCACTGTCCTCGTCGTGGCGGTGCCCGAGGGCCTGCCGCTAGCCGTCACGATCTCTCTGGCCTACTCAATAGGGCAAATGCTGGCCGATCAAAACTACGTCCGCCGTCTTGGGGCATGCGAGACCATGGGATCTGCCAACGAAGTATGCTCGGATAAGACTGGCACGCTCACGAGGAACCAGATGAGTGCCGTTGCGTTTTGGAATGGAACGGAGGTAGTTCAAGTCCCTTCAGCCTCTTTCGCCAGCCCAGACGCCAACGGCGCACCGGGGTTCAATGAGCGAACAGAAAGGTGGCGCTTGATTACCGAAAGCATTTCCCTAAACTCGACAGCTTTCCTTGAAAAGATGGAGATGATGGCGCTTAGTGATGGTCAGCCCACCACCCGGTACACCGTGAAGTACGTGGGATCTGCAACTGAATGCGCCCTCCTGGAGTACAACGATTTCATCTGCGGGGCAGATTACGCAGAAATTCGGGCAACAAAAGGGTCAGACTCCCTCATCGTCCACAGAGAAGAGTTTTCTAGTGATCGCAAAATCATGACCACAATCGTGTACCAGAATGGACTGGACGAGCCTTATGTGCGAGTCTATGTCAAAGGCGCGGCTGAAAGGGTGCTCCAGCTATGCAGTTTTTTAGTGAGTACCAGCGGAGATGTTCAGCAGCTTCGAGCAGATCAAAAGTCGGAAATCGAGAAGCGAGTCATTGACGGGATGGCACGTGACGCACTGCGAACAATTTGCATAGCGTACAGAGATTTCAATATGGATGAGTTGCCTGAGTGGAGGGACAAACAACCTGCACCAAACCAAATGTTTTTGAAAGCCGAGCAGAACCTGATTTGCCTTGGCATTTTTGGAATACAAGATCCTGTGAGAGACGAAGTGCCCGAAGCCGTAATGCGCTGCCACCAGGCGGGGATTAACGTTCGAATGGTGACAGGTGACAATATCATAACGGCGAAAGCCATCGCAAAAAAGTGCAATATTTTTAGCGAAGAGAGAGGAGACCTGGCAATGCTTGGGCCGGACTTCACGAAACTGGTGGGAGGCGTGATCTGCCAGACTTGCAGAACGGCCATGTGCGGCTGCGCAACTGATGCAAAGACAGCGGAGCTAGAAGGGAAAAATCTTCGTGTTGACGTTATAGCGGATATAGAGGCATTTGAGAGGATCTGGGGGCGACTTCAAGTCCTCGCAAGATCCCAACCGTCGGACAAGTACGTTCTGGTTACCGCACTGAAGCAGCTTGGCCAGGTGGTTGCCGTTACGGGCGACGGAACGAATGACGCGCCTGCACTAAAAAAAGCAGACGTGGGCCTCGCCATGGGAATTACTGGCAAGGAGGTGGCAAAACAAGCCGCAGACATTGTAATGCTGGATGATAATTTTCAGTGCATAGTTCAAGCGGTAAAGTGGGGGAGAAATGTCTACAGCAACATCCGGCGTTTTCTGCAGTTCCAGCTCACAGTCAACGTCGTGGCTGTGATTACGACCATACTGTGCGCGGCCATTTTGCGCGACTCGCCGCTGACGGCTGTGCAGATGCTTTGGGTGAACCTTATCATGGACAGTTTTGCGTCGCTAGCGCTTGCGACGGAGCTGCCTACGCCCGACCTGTTGAAGGAGAAGCCCCATCACCGGCACCAGTCTCTCATCTCGAGGTCAATGGCGCTTACGATTACCACTTCTGCACTGTATCAGCTGGTCATCATGATCGCACTGATATTTTTTGGGGATTCCTTTCTTCCTGAAAGCCAGTGGGGGTACCTCCTGCCAGCAGATCGGTCACAAAATGACTTCTGCGAATTTTCAGACTGCGATCCGCTGACAGGTATGTCCAGCTACCCAACAGATCCCATGGAATCCAGATAGCAGGTTCGATGAAGGAATTAAATGAGCATATCAAACGGCGTAAATGTGATGAGCCAGGAAAGCGCTCCTTCATATCCTTCTGTGCCAATGTGCGTGTACAGGTCAGGGAACCTTGATGCGTTCCGGCAGGAAATACAAGCTTTTTTCTACTGAAGAGGACTACGAGGATCGCTGGGTCGGCGTATTTGGACCATCGCGTCACCTGACATTTGTTTTCAATACCTTCGTACTCATGCAGTTGTTCAACATGGTCAACGCAAGGGATGTGGAAGAGGATTTCACACAGAAAGTGTCATTACCGCGACTTTTTGTCAAGATGACAGGCAATCCAATGGGATTCTCTATTTGGTTGTTCATTCTCTTCTCACAGATTTTGATGGTTGAATACGGAGGCTCAATGATCGGTTGCCACTTCGAGGTCAGCCACCCCAATGCAATTCCCTGAATAATGCATGCTGTGCTTATCTACACGTGTTGGCCCTTGCCCACTTTTTGTTGAGTGTGGAGACGATGTATTCTTTTTCTCAGGGTCTCACCTACCAGCAATGGCTTTTGAGCATCATGATCGGATTCGTCGGACTCTTATTTTCCCGAATACCTCAATGCTTCCCACAAATTACTCGCGTCTTTCCAGAGTTTGGAATGAGGGAGGAAGGAATTTCAGGGAGCGCTCCACTCGCATTAGGTCTTCGTGGCCGATCGCCATCTCGGATGAACGATCGCTGCATGATCAGCACGCTGGCAGTTGCTAAAAAGTATGCGCGAAGGGCGAAAGAGTTGACGATTAGCCGTATGAAAGCCCGCAGAGGGCGCTCACATCATGCGGCGAGCGCTACCGCAGTAACTGATGGATTTCTCCCGGTTCAGGCATCTGCCTGAGAGGGTCTATTGCATAGTGATGAGCGATCTGTGCTAAGCGTGCAGTTGTCAAAGGCATAAAAGGTGAGCCTGGATACTTTAACACACGATATCGTGTGCTCATCTGCTTACAGCCGGCTGGACTATATAAGGTTCGGGTTGAGGCTGCTATATGCACGGACTACCTCGGCTGGACCAAAACCCTGTAGCCATGCCGCCATGCAACATTTCCAGATCTTTACTTGGTTTCAAAATCACTAGTGTAAGTCTGGGAATAGCATGCAGGGAAAGTACAGGAAGCTTATGCACTGTTTCAGCTTCCCGTGCGAAATGTGGGTGGAGTGATCTGCCGACCGGGCCATGACTGGTTCTGTTTCAATATTGGTGCCTTCCAAAGATTCGTGTAGCAGGTGAACAAGGAAATCCGAATTTTGAATGCATACAGGCAAATATTTCGTGCCTTTGGAGGAACTGGTGGCGGTGCATTGTTCGGCCTTGAGCTTAGTGCTGAGCTTCCCCATATGTTCCTACTTCATTGTGTCAGTTAAATTCTAATAACGATACATTCCATTCTCTAAAGAATGATTTCGCAAGGATATCCAGTTGTTTGGTAGTCACAAATAATATAGAAAGGCGTGTTACAGAATCTTTAGGGGTTGGTAACTAAAGGCATGCCTCTGAGGGTCTTCTAGCCTTCTGATGATGACACACCCCTTAATGGTCCCCGCATGGCAGTCCACTCTGAGTAGGATTCTTGGTAGAATCTAAAGTTTCTGAAAGCCCATAAGACTGCGTCAACTCAAAAGTGACTGCCTCAATGGAAACAATGCCACACAGTAGGTGGGTCACTGTTACTGCAGGCTCGTCATAAACGTCAGGAAAGTATACTTAAACTGTTCTTGTTAAATTACCAGCTTTATGGGCATTACGAGGTGTGACGAATTTACCATCGCCACCAGACAGGTGAGCTGAGCGTGTGTGAACTCGATCCCAAAGGCTCCACTTGGGTTCTCTAGTAGGAGACATCACACAAATCCCCGAACCTAATACAAAGCATAATACGAGTTTATTCACTGTGCTTTAAAAGAGCCTATCTCTTTACCCCGTAACCTCTCAGGATTTAGGAACGAGGGGGAGGGAAATCTGGGGTGCACATGGCTGCACCCTCCCAGCACGCCGAGCGCACTCACAGCTAGCTGTACACACCCACTAGTGCGCAGGCACACAACATTGATTCTTATGGTAATGAGAACACCATTATGGAATAAATAGGGTCAAGGAACAGCAAAATTAAAAACCCGTTTTTTGATAATTGTCATGAAATACAGGTAGTGTGCTGGAAAGTACCACAGTGCAGCGTTGCCCACTAAACTTTTTCCTCAGCCTTGTAGCTGCATCAAGTCTACGAAAGAAACAGCATGCTTTCAATCCATAAGCATATGCTCTGCAGTATCCATGCCAGCCAGGTGTCCAAGTCTGCTCAGAGCTCCAGAGATGTACGAAAAGCTGCCGCCGGCAGAACGCGTCCGTAGTTACCTGCCATTGCTTTGTTCAGTCTTGTGATGACAGCCATGCAGACGCAAAGACATCCTATTTCCAGGTCCCTTTCTTCATGCTGGCATCCTACCTCCACGTGTGCTGCTGTAATGGAGAGGCTAGATAAAGCATGCCAATAACGAAAAAATGCATGTTACTGTAGCACTCGAACGACGAGTGGCCACTTTATTTGGCTCTAGAATGCACTTAAAGAGCAAACAAGCAGGTTTGAAGTGATTTCATTCGCATATGTGCAAAAGGACGACTGAATTTTGCCTAGCTTAACACATCAACCTGTTCTAAAATCATGTGTGGCTTATAACAAGCCGATGGTTGACCGAAGTAAGCAAACAAGGCAAAGATAGCAGCTTACTTCGGTGTAAATATGATTGGGAGATGTCACAGTACAAATTCATAGTCCGCGTCCTACAAAGGGCTGTTTTAAGCGAGTCCATATAATCTCTCATTGCCGCGAAACGATTGAGCGTACATCGTATACAGCAATTAGCTTGGTTACCTTGATGACCCATTTAAGACTTTTAAGCTGGAAAAGTTGTATGGTAGAGACACATTTCTAAAATGAAAGCTCAGTATGATTTCAGTAGCTTTCGACTGATGTCACAAAATGACCTACACCAAGTGGGCACATTGGTTTGTCTCCATGCAACTCCTATTAACACCGGGAACAATAGATCACTTTCAAAGTTTTAGAACATGCTATGATGTATTTTCTAGAAAATAGAAAGTATTTCTGGCACTCGAGTTCATTCGCTGTGGTACCCGTACTCTGGCTGCATGCATAACTGCATGCTGATGATCTCCTTCAGTGATGGAGAAATTGCCTTTTGAAATTCTTTACATCCTATAAGGAGCACTAGGCTGTATAACAGCCTTGATATCGACATCGCTGACCTCTGCCTATTAGGTTATTCGTTGATGATGCCCTGGCACTGCCGGAGGTATGATTGTTTTTTGCTGGTATTTTCGCCCTCTGTATGATTGCTTCTTATACGATTGCTGAACAAAGGTACCAAGCTTTGAAATATGGCGGTATATATCAAGCAGAGCCCCCCGCGCGAGGGAGTGCGTGGTGGCTGGGAGGACTTCAACTGGGAATCCTTAAAGTCCCAGTCAAATGCAGAGCGAGACTATTACCTCGGTAAGAGACTTACACTTGGCACCCCCAGAAAGTTCTCGGCTACAGCGGACTTTTCGGAAACATACCGCATGCGCGGGGGCACCGATATTGCTCCCTCCAGAAAGTATAGATGCACTTGGCTAGCTCTAGCTGCTGTACCTAAACGTCTGCTTGGATGTATTGAAGGGCAGCGTATCATAGGCACCTCATAATCAAGAGCGATTATGCCGTGGCTTGTTGAATTGGACGCATTTGAACGATAATGCATCGCTGTGGCTGCATTTTGTACACAAAGCAGCATTCCTGGTGCTCCCAGTCGTGAAATCGGTCTATGAGGTAACGTTTTGCCTACTAAAGTATGCGTTTGCATTCTCTAATTAGGCAAGGTAGCTTGCTGCTAATTGCTCTGGCCATTCCCACGCCTGAACTGCTGCGGCGCTTCTGCAGGTGCGAGCGCCAAGGTGGGGATTTGCACCAGGGGGAAGTTTGAAAAGTTTGACTGGTGGACAAAGAAGAAGGAGCCCGCCGGCCAGACGGACGCAGCAGAAGATGAGTTGCAAAGGGTGAAGCGGTTCGAGCAGCAACTACTAGAGGAGGCTCTGTAAGCGCTATACACGCCATTGTGTCATGCACTACGCCTAACGGTTGCTTTTGGTTTCACGAGCCTTACCCCTGTTACTTTTCTTTGCAGGGGCCGGAGGCCTCGGCATTTGCTGGCGGGGGAGGCTCTTGAAGAAGAAGCACCAAGGCCGACTGCAGCGCCAGAGGCTGGCCCTGCGGCAGAGAAGGCTCTGAAGAAACTGAAGAAGGAACAAAAGTACGAAACCTTTACCCGTGCATATACGCAGGTGGTGCCATTATTGCGGTCATGGTCTAGTTGGGATAGAGAGATGGGTAAAATCGAGGTGTTGTTTGAATACTTCACGAACCAAAATCCCCACAGTGCACGGTATACGAACTGCATTTTAGAGCTGTGGGACCAACAATCAGTACATGTATAACATCGGACCATGTATCGCTGTGAAGAGAGGCTTGGGGGTACGACGTGGACCTGGCATTTTTCTTATGCTCAGGAAGTTGAAAAAGCTGAAAAGAAAAGAACAGAAGCGAGAGGCTCGGCTTTTGCGGTTACTGAAGAAGGAGCGCCGCAGCGATTCGCGCTCTTCACGTGAGCCCTCCCCCCCAGTACGCAACAGCAGTAGCGTGGACCGAAGGCAGCATGAGAGAAGTGGCAAACACACAAGACAGCACTACGGACGCAGTCGGAGCCCCTATACTGACCGCAGCCTTTACAGGTCGTGTGGCGTCGATGCCTCCCGTGTAGCTGTGAAGCTCAGGAGATCTCCTTTTGAGGCCAGAGGGGGATCAGACACAAGACTGCCTGGAGGCGAGTCTAGGCAAAGAGAAGCACGCAAAGAGCAACTGGAGGAAGGCTCAAGGAAGCGTGGCCGGTCGTACTCCGCAGAGAGAGGTAGCCGTAAAACCAGGCACCGTTCGCGGCCTGTTGATTCCGAGAGGAAGGCAAGAGAAAGTTACTACAGGAGCGGGTACTTCCAACTGGAGAGTAGCAGGAGACATGTAAGGGATTCCAGAGACGCAGAGCGAGATCACAGGAGACGCGATTCAAGGGATCATCGAGGCACGCACCGCACGGAGCAGAAAACACAGGAGATCGAGAATTGCAGGTTGAGAAGCAGAAGAAGTGGAGTGGTCATAGAAGGTGCGGAGCAGTTAAGGGGCAGCATAGAGCGCGCATCACGTGATGAGAGGGAAGCTTGTCGAGCACCTGGGGAGGGAAGGGGCATCAAGAAGGAGCTCGTTGAAGAAGACAGGAAGAGAAACATGGGGTCGACTCAACCCAGAGACAACGACACTGCTGCGAAAGCTAGAAGTGACGCTGAGGTGCCTCGCGTGAAGCGCGAACTATGAGTCTGCAGGATACTGGACTGTTGGCCTGCCTCCGGAGTTTAAGTGAGCTATGATAGCAGCTACCAACAATAAATGGTCCCACGGCTTCTCTAGGGGACCAGGAGGGGATGTTGACACTACTCGGAAGACATTTTTTTGTACAAAAGGAGTGACTTGCTTCCTGCAGGCTTCTTTTTTCCTTCCTGAATGAACCATACGCGGCACAGAGTGTAACTCAGTGCAAGTTGATTTCCTGTTGGCTCAGTTCGCACCGGTCAAGAAACGATTTCAGAAGGTGGACTGCAAGACTCTGCAGCTCCGAGACTGAGCTGCACATCTACCATAATTTTATAGCTGTATCTTGATTCATGCAGATGCATCTTTGCCAGTTCTTGAAAGCCTACGCAACAGAGCAGATACAGCTTGAAGGCAAATGCTAACCACATTTTGTAATAGTGACATTCTTGTGCTCAGGAGCGAAGTAAGAGATTTCCGCTACTTCTTGGGTTGAAATTGGGGGGCATCAGCTATAAACTGGTAGCGAGTAACAAGTAACGTTCAAACCGCTGGCACCCGACTTCTTCCGGAAGGGTTAATGCAGTCGCTGTAGACAAACGCTGCACAATATCCATTTGCCAAACGATTTTGTGTTTTTGTGGAAAGGGGCTTGCTAGTGGTGATGGATCAGGGCTCAGATGTCTCCCAATCCATTTGACCCAGTATGAATAACGGCACGTGCAAAATAGGACGGACAACGCCAAATCTTATTACATTCCATCACACCGAAGCCAGAACGCTACTTTTAGACCACTCGAAGTTCTCAAGGGTAAACGGCGAGTAAACTGCTCCACAAGCTCGGCTAAACGCCAAAGTGTGATGCACTGTTTGGGCTCAACGTCCCCTGCTGGCCCAGCAGTGTTTTTTTCGTCAGCTGTGCTTTATTCACTTGCCTCTTGCTGCTGCTTCATCATGAATTACCACAAAACATCATTGGCTTCTCGAGAGGGACAGAAATAGACATGTCAATACGCGTGGTGCCCACTTCTAGGTTGAGGCCCTTCTTCAAAGGGGGGAAGGCTATGGACACGGTTTGTGCCACTGATCATACAAGACAGATATTAGTCCTGCACAAATCTTAGTCAGGCTTGTGGATAGTTATTCGGACAGTGAGATGCCAATGCAAAGTTTTTGCTTTTAAAATTATGTAGAAGATGGCACGCTCGTTTTTGGAGTGTGTATTGCTCCTCTAGAAGCGAATACAGGTCACGACCTGTGGTAATGTGAACGTGAACACTGAAGCTGCGAAAAGACGTCAATGAATCTGTGGAAAACCCGGAAAAAAGCCGTGGTCCACTTCAAGCATCAATGCATATATCATATCTGGTGCAGCCTTCCGTTGGCAAGTAACGATGGTGGTGCAGTTTACTACGGCTTACCACACAGGTAAGCCTGTGTACTTTAACCCAGGCACACAGACAATGTAAGGCCACGCATAAAACATCAACTTGTGGCTGCGCACGTGATGCGGCCCGATCTCTCGACCGGGGATGCGCAAGCCCCAGTAATCATAAATCGGCACCCTGTAGGTGGCATATCATCGCGAACAACGAAATATGCTGAGACTCTGTGAGATGCTCGATTACCAGTGTGCAATGCACTGGCCTACTTCTGCGTACGCACATGATGCAGTGCAAAGTGTTGGCACCTAGTTCCCTGGGGTCCTTTAATCGCTGCTTCATGAACCGCATTGAGGCTTGATTTGATGCTTTGCAGATGATACATCAATCGCATAATCACAAAAGCTGAGGCCGTCCGAGAAGCCAGGCTGTCAGGGTGAGCAGTGCAGTGTTCCCCCAGACACGCTACCAGCGCGACTGTCACCTGATGTGCATTGTTGTCCACCGCCATCAGACAGCTCTCATAAGCCTGCAATTTGGACAGACACAAAAAATCCATCAGCCTGTGGGTGAGCAGCAATGTTCACTTGAATAACGTCAAATGCCTGACTAGCAATGCAACACGCAGCCAACAGGTACAGGTGCAGTAGAAGAGAGACCGCGCCGTCTAGATGGATTGAAGCAGTATCCCATGATCAAGGATACGTCTGCTCTTGTTGACGCTTCTCTATTTAAACTAACCAACCCCAACGTTTCTCAAAGCATGATCGCCACTGCTGAGGGACTACGAATGCAACTGACATTTTCAGGGCCACCGAGGCTGTCGCTCTGCCGGGCGTAACCTCCCTGGAAGGACATCAGTTTGCCCTCAAATGAAGGGTAAGCCGAGCAGAGCTGCGCACTACAAGCTGCAGCCAGGGTCCTCAGCGAGTCACACGTGGCGCGCAGGGCTTCTTTCAATTCTTTGCCTGCAAGGCCACGCAGAACAAAAGAGTCAGCCAATGACTCACTATAAAAACAGAAAAAGAGGGAGGCTCGCCGTAGAGGACAGGCAAACTGTGTCCTAACTTGTACATAAACAAAAGAAGAAAACGTACCCTGGGTAGCCCCAAACAGCTGCTGAACTGCCAAGCAATTGCCGCGCTGCATTAAGGGCAGGCTCCAGCTCCTTGTATATGAAAATGTACCATCAGGTGACTCAACTTTTGACGGTAAGCTCGCCAATTGCATGGATTCCAGCTCTTTTGGTTCTACCGCTCTAGTCTGTGTAGTTTCCATGAGGTCGTCGAGCATGTCTGAGACAAGTTGCGCTGCAGCTTGGGACTCAAGTACTATGGATTGGACGGCCACATGGACTCTAGCAATGCTCGGATCCATCTGCCACATCTTTAGAAGGGGAACGTGTCTGCCTTCCTTCAAAAGCCGTGAGGCAGAGCTCAGCATCTCATTCACTTCAGACTCCAGACACTTAGCCACCGCGCCGACCTTCTCGTGCTCACTGTACATAAAGACCGCAGTGCAGCACACGCACGAAGTAACACTACCGTCATACTCTTGCGAAAGCGTTTTAGAATCTCTGTAGCACATTTGATGCGCACGCAAATTCCACCAACAACCAGGCGCAATATTCAATATGCACAAGTATGTTTGCCTAGCGGATGGTACTACATTCTACGGCGGGCCAAAGTACAACAGACTGCTGCGCATGCGCCAAGACTTTCTTGCATTAAACGCTTTAAGTAAAAGTCGTGGCCACCTGTTCCACCCGACTTGAGGACTAGGCTCAACAGTAAGCTAACAAAATGGAGTAACGCTGCTGTGGACCCTGGAGAAAAGCCTGCAGTTCTGCCTTTAAGCACCTGCGTAACTCCGAATCAGAGCCCTTAGTCTTATCTTCAGCAAGCAAAGCGGGAAAGGGCTCATCTCTTGAGGCGCCGCATACGTAGAGGAAGGAGTACACCAAGTTGCTAACCTCCCTTGTGCAGCTGTGCATAATTTGGGAGTACTCATTACATGAGCATTTGGCAGCGCTCGCTGACGGCGGCAAATGTGATATTATAAGCGCCAGTAAGATCCCCATGAGATTACTCAGGATGCGTGTGACGACCAGATAATCCCCGCCACCTGCAGAACAACAGACCACGATCATCCTTGCCGTGGCTAGCCTCATTCGCAATAAGCTTAAGGCTTTAAATAGAATTGATTAACGAAAAGAGACCTGTAGAAATCTAGCATAGAAGGCCCAACAGATGGCTACTAGAGTTTCTGCAGATCTATCAAAACACGTAAGTTGCGCGCGAGTTCCCCCATATAATTCCTGTTTTGTCGCAGCCTTCCTCCGAGGCTATAGCTAGATGCGATTAATCGTGTAGCGCCAATCCATTCCCTAGTGTTAATAGTCCCATCGAGTGACCCTGTGTAAGGCTAGAGTCGAGCAAAGGGCATCTCGAGGCACACATATGCCGTTCGAGGGAGCTACAACAGCTGAGTGCATAAGCTTTGCCAATCATATGGGTAGCCAGTGTACAAAAACGCTCGCCAGTATACTCCAGTGCGTACTGACCTGTCATCCCTCCCAAGTCTTCCGTAGCCAAAGTGACAATGAGACTTTGCGTGTATGTGAAAACGATACCCGCATACCCCCATTTCTTGTGGAACCCGTCCAGCGGATGGTTCGAGTCGGCGAAAACAAAAATATCAATAAAAACCGTTACTGAGCAAAAGGCAATGAGGCCGGCGACATTTGAAGCGGTCCATTTTAACCCAACCCACCCACAAAAAGCACCTAGGAGGATGCCGATCGTGCGGTTAAGGCCGCGATGTACGGTGCCACTATATGTTGTCTGCAGCACAGTGAGGTAACCTAGTAAGAACCATGGAACCATCCTTGTAGGGGTACCCTGGTCTGAGAAGTCCAAAATTATGGGATTATCTGTAACATCAACTCCTGAGAAGCAAAAGGAGGAGCAAACACCCCTCATGCATCATGAAGACGGGGTGTCCTTAACAGCCTTATGAGCCCGTCATGTGCGTCACATGATTCCCATGTTTTGTGCAAGTCAAAGCTCAACATACAGCTATTCCGACAAGAAAACGACATGCTCTGCTGACTGAGGACTATTCGTACTTCTGCGCAAAGAAGGGTACCTCCTCACCCAGTCTGCCCCCGGCTCCCGCCTCTGCTTCACCATTTCCCTGTGTGCATTCTTACCCCAAGAGTAATCACGAAGTTCCTTGCAGTATATACCAAGGATGTATATGCATATGAGAGGAATAACCAGCTTAACAGCATACCACGTCTCTGGATGCTTCCACCAAGCGCGTGGCCCTTTCCACTGTAGCCTCCAAAATGCCAGAGCCGACAATGGCGCAATCACTAGTCGGCTAATATGAACCACAACTGACACGAACGGGAAAATAAGGTTCATTAGAAGGCCGCACCACGTGTTAACCTGCTGCGCCTTGCTCAACGCACAAATAGAGTGACTCAGCTTCACAGGTTCAGAATAGCCAGCCTGAACAAATGCGGTGACTGATAGTCCCATGGGAAGAAGCTTCATGGCTCGTTCAAAAGATCCCCTGCGACATAGGCGATTTCCAGCTGCTTCTGGTTCGCTCACGCCCAAGTTACACTTCGTGGTGCCACCATCTTCCAGCTCTACAAGAGCCCTTTCTGTGTCTGCTTCTGACGGTCGAAATACCGCCTGGGCTAGGGAACACATTTCTGCCTCCAAGGACTGCATCTGATCCATCAGCTCAGCAGCATGCTTTCTGCTTCGCGACGGAGAAAAAATACACGGGAATGTGGTTAACAAGGCTTCGCAGAACTCGTATATGCGCACACACTTGGATAATAAGGAATTCCCGATGGACGCCAGTTCGGGATGAGAAGCGCTTATGCTGCCCATGTGTTTCCCCCCTCTTGAGCAATAGAAAAGTTGAACCATATGTTGGGTCTCGATACAACACTGGATTAGCCGCTTTCGAACTTCGTTCAACTCCTTCATTGTCCACACACCAATGCCGGGGTACAACACGAACGGCTCCATGCCGGACAGCAAGACGGCCTTCTCAATCTCAAGGAGGCCAAGTATAGCATTATTCATCTCATCAAAAACTCGTGTTCTGGAGGTGCTTGTTTTTACGTCCGAAGGCGCTTCGCCCCCTTTTCCCGCAGCATCGCATTCCTTTTTGCCATCAGCACTGCTGCTGGAGCTGCCTCGTCCTTCATCTGCTGAAGTGCTTGCTTCCATGAGATCCTCCTGAACTGTACACAGGCACCTGCGTTGTAGAGCACAGAAACACTGCCAACATCCATTAAATGGATTCAATGCACCATTTATAGTGTAGCCCTGGTATAAGAAGGGAGAATGTAGAAAACATATTACGTACTTGCGGATGGTGCTGCAGGCACTTGACATCTCCCTTAGTGCAACATCCCGTTGCCTACGAATTGGAGGCACCAGCATAACCAGTAGATAGACAGCAAAGCCTAGGAATGCAAAAATAATAAGGTTTCGTAGGATTCCAATGGGTCCAGAGGCAACCCATAGTGCGTTAATGAACCATGTTCCCGGGCGAGCACCAATGACAACACTTTGTCCACTGACACCGTCGACGAACAGTGGCACTTCGTACATCCAGTCTTGCAGATCAAAAGAGCCTGCGTCCCTAGGCAGTTTCATCTCCAATGTGACGTGCTTTCCAGCTGGTACTTTCTCGGCAAGTAGAAAGAGCGTAGTCAAAACCGTTTTTCGGTCAAGTGAGGCAGTTCCTGCGGAAGCTGCAAGAACGGCCTTAAGGCTTTTGGGCAAAGACTGTAGAATCGAATTGATAAGTTCCTGGCTTGTTAGTTTGTCAAGAAGTGCTGCGGCTTTATCTGGAGAAAGCAAGAAGAATTGGGAGAATGCTTCCTTAATTTCTTCCATGCTGCTACTTGTAACAAATTCTTTAAGCGCAGCATACCTCTCCGGCGTGACCTCTACACTTATGCCTCCGGAAGCGTAAGGATATGCGATGAATGTTGCCAGAGGGACTGCATACAGCATTATATACGAACCAATAAGAGTCATTTCCTTGGTTTTACTGATTGCTAGGAATGACGACCAAATGACACAGAGAGCATAGAACACAGCGCAAAGCGCCTGTCCACCGCTTTCCACTAGCAAGCAAGACAGCAGCGCGGTTGCCACTGCACAAGCCACGAGGATACAAAAAAGACCCGATAGAAGAAGAATCACCGCGGAGCTGAGCATGGGGGGCGCCAATGTGCCAACAACAAAGAACAAGAACGGGCCAATATATTTAAAAGAATAGTCCATCGTAGGGATGTCACACATAGTCAGTGCCATGATCAGTGCCCCTCCAAGAGCCATTCGCAAGGCCCTTTCTGTGCGCCCCATAACATTTGAAACAGCCCCTTGGGATGCCATTCGCTGGAGCGTGCTACTCCCCGCATGACTCTTCTGCGAGGTGGCCGAAAGGGTGTGCTCCTGTCCAGCTGTGTCCGCCATGGTGTCGAGGAATCCAGGAAAGGCACCAGGGTACCTCCGGTAGGCCGAGTGGGAGACAGAAGTACGAGGAACCCGAGCGTCCAGGCGAGCTGGTAGATTTTTAAAGGCTGCCCTCCTGTGCTTCAATTGAAGGGCAAGAGAATGCACTACTAGTCACTTCTTTAGTCACTCAACTCAGGTCTATTGCATCTGTAAGGCTCCAGTGCAGCAAGTACTGCGCCATCCCACGGCTGTTTGAGTTCACAACGCAGAACCCCAACAAAACGCCTCCACAAAACCGGCCACAGATACAGAAACCGGAGAGATCAAACTTCCAAGGAGGTAAAGCAAGAAGCACAACGGACCTGTCACTTGGCATGGGACGCCTGCAAACGGATTGCAAGTGCCTCGTGCTGTTTTATCCCGTTCTCCTTGCAGTCCGGGTCAGTGTAAAGAAATGAAATGGGCATGGTATCTCATGGGGGCGGTACACCTAAATTGTTCGCTCACTGGGGTAGGCTACGTTGTTCCTCAGCTCTCCGCCAGGTTCTGCTTCCTCAGCAGACATTTCGCCGCTAGTAGGACACTGCTGCACGTACGCAACACAGCGATAAAGGTACCTGTACCGGCAAGACCACAATATGAAACTAAAATTGGTAATGCAAAGATGGCAGAAAAGCGTGGTTGGGCCTTGATTTGGTGAGCCTCAGTGCGGCCAACCGAGCAAGCCACCGGTGGTCCCCTCCGGGCATGCGAGCTTGAGCCGATTGTGTTGGCGGCACAGCAACAATCCAGCAACAATGGAACGAAAACTGACTAATTTTAAATGGGACCCTCCTCATATCCTTAAACTGTCATTATTTCTGTTTGACGTACTTTATTTGCTTACATCAGGGGGCTGCAACTTGTGTCAGAGTGAGGGGGAACTGTGCTCTACCAAGTTGCACAAATGCTGCCCAACGTTAAATGACGTCGAGCAAATTACGCGAGGTCTTAACAGTGATTATGACCAACTTTGATGCTTATAGTCTACAACGCGCAAGAAGAGCAAAGTTGCACCCCACCCCTTAAAGTTCTTGTTGCAAGCTGTTATGCGCAGCTGTGTGTTTGGCAATTCTTTTAGCATGCAGAGCCATAGGGTGCGTTTTTCCCTCCCTTGACCCAAATATTTGGAGATGCTTGTAGAAGGGCCATGAGGCACTGGCTATTAACAGTCGGGAGAGCCCATTTTTTGTCGCGTGCATTTCCTGGTTCCATTCTCATGCAGAAGGGGTCAATGCATCCAAAGTGTGGCGGTATTCGGTTGCCGTCCAGAACAATACAGCACAGGCCGGTTGATATAGTGCATGCTGGTAACTAGAGGCCCTCCGAATAATAGCTTTGATTCGTGGTCATTGCAACGAAATGCTTCGGTCAAGAAGCAATCCATGTATCAGGCTAAGCTGCGCCTAAGCACTAATTTCTGCATCAGAGATAAATATTCAAAAGTTGGCTATTCGTATGTCGCTCAACTGGAATATTGCGTTTTATTCATGTATTAAGCATCAACGTTCTGTGCGTGCGCACTGGATACTATGAGCATCTAGCTTAAAATACCTGGAGTGCTTAAAGGGTGCAGAAACGCTTACCCTAGCTCGCTAGCTCCCCTCCCCCCTGAGAGTCGAGGGTACAGGAAAAGGAGGCTTTTCTTGGGAAGGCCCTCAAGGTTGTATAGAGTCTGGAGTTACATGCACCGCTATGAAGATCTTAAGGAGAGCGTTACAGGTGGGCCCAACGAATAATATGATCCAGATGCTCTTGCGCAAATCCGTTGGCTGTGGATGTACTACGATGTCAAAAATTCTTTGGCTGGTTTCGATTAGGGCATTTGGTAATCCGATGATTTGATTCTCTAACAAAAGTATGGTAAAAATGCTTTTTTGGCAACTATACCTGACGATGATGCGATACCTCTTGGGACAGCAAAGGCCGGTCTGAGAGCTTATTCGAACCCAGCGGCTCACAGCTGGAAAAAGCAAGCTTCGACAGCCGAGAAAATGCTTCCTAATGCGTCGATGAGGCTATCTGGAAACCATGAAAGTATGATAGCGGTAAGGATGGGCAAGTAATATGAGACTTCATCAGCTGAGTAAAGGCGTGCCTCGCTTTGTATCCCAATTGAAGAAAAACAAACGCCCCTTGTATTATGCCTTTTGGAAAAAGAGTTACTCCGGTGGTGATTCTCTTACCGCACAGAAGGCCGCCTGTCTGTAGTGAGCACCGCAGTTCAAATTTTCGCATGAGCCCTCACGCATCAATTCATGCGGAAATCCGCTCAGGAGCAAGCTGTGGGATAATAAAGAGCGCTGAAACAGGGGAAAATATTATTGTTCGGTACCTTGAGAAACATTAAAGAGTGGTTCGCACAAGCCACAGCGCAGAAAACCAGCTGCAACATTAGTGGCTTCGATTAGGCCGATCCCAATTTTCACGTCAAGTGCCGCAGATTGCGCAGCGACTCATCGATGAACAGCCAAATGGTTAGGCTCTTATAAACGATGGGATGCTTGAGGATTTAAAAAAAAATGATTGCAGCTTTTCTATGTTTGGCCATTAAATGGCAAAGTGGGACCTCTGACCTACGGATGTTGGAGGGTGCGTAAACCGGTTCCTTTCTACAGCCTAAGGTGAACGGCGAGAAAAAGCGTGAAGTAGAGCACGCGCACCTCATCCCCAAAAATCCCCCGACAGCGCATATAGTTGTGTGAGGCTGAGTAATATAATCCGGAACTGAAAACGTATCCAACTGGTCAAATACCCTGAACAAGAACACTGAGCCCAGCAAAAACAAGCTGCTTGGCGAGCAAACAAGGAGTATCAAGGAAGCCTCCACCCCCCACGCTGGCTCCGCGCACCGGTGGCCACACAGGACCGACCCTCTAAGGGGCCCCGCTGTTGTTCAATGCGGCAAGACTTGCTAGCGTTGCGCTATGCTGGATGTGAAGTGACGTGAACTATCACCACAACTGCTCCTCCAGGAGCTCCGTCGCTCTCAAAGAAGCGCTCGAAGTATTCACACCTGTAGAACTAGAGGCCCTAAATGCAGATTCCTATCTGGACAACCATTACAAGGCTAAAGCGGTGGCTCTAGTGATAGAATGGCAATCGTGCGGGGCTTGGCTACAGCACCAACAGCCGCTGCAACTCTGAGCCAAGTAGCTTCTCTAATATCCTGATGTTCCCGTCCAAACACCCTGGCCCCCAACAGTAACTTATCTTGGAATGGCGCTGTTGAGTCCCGGTGCTGTTCTAATGCTCCTCAGCACGATGGGTACCGGGGGTCTCCAATGCAGGCTGAGTACGCGCTTGCGGATATTCCAAATTCGAGTAGAACTTTGCTCAAACGTGATAAAGCCCATGAAATAATCTCAAAAGAGGCGACCTTTTCATTTTGCTGCAGACTAATGCGAATACTCTCTGAAGCCTCCCTGGAGATGAAACTCTGATTCTACAATTTCACACTTTCTTGGAAGGCTGCTGAACGGCTGGAAACAAAGCTAAATACCTATATTACGAGTCTTCGTTGCTGCGAAAACATTTGATGGTTTGTGAGGGCAGTCAAAGTTAAAGAGTCAACACTTAACAAATACTTGGCAATCGCAAATTCTTCTCAAGTACCCGTAGCGTGCTGCTCAAGGTGAGAATTCGCAGTGGTAGCCTCTGCATTGGTTTAGCAGGCGTCGCCAAAAAGTATGCTTTTGGTGTTACTTCATTTTTCAATTCTGCTTGTGCTTAAGCTTACCCGCCTTATTAAACTTATCCTTGGGGAAATTTGCCCCAAAGCATAACTGAGTCTCGACTAAAAGCTTCCCCCCCTTCGACTCTCCTAGTCACACGGAATCATCTTTCAGCCTATGCAAAAAACGATCATGCATCTTGCCCAGACCTTCAGGGGTTAAGGGCCTTTTGGGCGAGGGACCTAAAAGGTAGTACACTAGCAGTACATCTGCGCCTCCTGTTGCCGTTTTTGTAGTCAAACGCACGCTGCTAGTGCAGTTCACTTCAACTCCGAGTCAAGGCCTAGCAGCATGGCTCTAAACCTCTATGTGGGACCTGCCCAACATGATACAATCCTAGGTACACCATGGGTGAACCAACGAAAGGCGCGCATACGGTCAAAACGGTGAGTTGCGGAAGCCTCTCTGCCAATAAGCGCTAGGAATGAGCATCGCTTGGGCTCGCCAACAACTCTCTTCATGTATGATGAGCGGGGTAGGGTGAGTGCTTCAACAAGGTGAGGCAGAGGCTCCATGCGGGCGGCTCAGCAGCGCAGTATGAAGAGATAGTTTGGAGCATGCATCTCATCTTAGTTGCTCTGTAACTGATTCCTTACCAGTGATTTCGACTGGATGTTTGGCCAAGGAAGAGCAGCAATGAGCAAGTTTATCAATAAGTTCACTAATGTGTCATGTAATAAAAATCTGCTAGCAGGCTGACCACCTCCCAGTCGTCCAGTGCATCGTGTTCAATCCCGTAATCAACCCCAAGCGATGGTTCGTAGTATCAGAAGCTCCTACTTCATGAGGAGAACCAGAGGCAAACTGGTTTGTTTTAAAAATTTAAGTGCATAAATTTGCCGGTGTTTCGGGCGTGGCCCGGTGACTATGCCGAGAAGGACGGAATGCCCCTCATGTCAATCAACTTGAAACGCCTGAACAAGATTACTGTGAAGCATAAGTTTTCGATTTAAAATATTGGCTACTGGCTGGACAGGCCATAATGATTAGCAGTCTACTCATCGTTTGATTGCACAGACGCTTTTTAGCAAATCCTTATTTGCCCAGATGACACACACACGATGGCATTCCACACTAGAACTTGCCATTTCGAGTTGTACCTGTGTCCCTTTTGGACTTCTTGATGCCAGAACTAAACTGCGACCTTAATCGACCAACATTTTTGTCAGCATATAAGAGAGGGCTGAATCTTAATATTTGTTTGAAACGTAGAAGAGCATTTATGAAACCTATGGCGTGCGCTTT